CAACGCATGGTGTACAGTGGTGCAGGATTTCGTCCATCCACTGGTCCACGGTATGGGCCCCCAAGATAAATAAGTTAATGATTAAAAACAACATAGATAAACAACTAGATATGTAAACAATTTCATGTATGCCCCCCAAAATAAATAAACAAGAATAATAATAAATGTCGGTGTCCCTGCTGTTCAACCCCAAATCACTTGACTGCTTGGTGAAAACCTGGAACCTTTTCGACGTTTGTTACCCGGGCCGATCCGATGGTTGCCTGGTCGTTTCCTGAAAATGCCAAAAGGGGGTCCGCTTTGAACAACTCCCTGGTGACAACCCAGCACGCTGCGTGTTTCTGTCGAGTTTGGGGGTGCTGACAAGCCCCAGACCATCGACCGGGCCAAAGTTGCCCAGGGCAATCCAGCTGAATGCGCGTTGCGCACAGCCGTTTGACGGAACGCCTGCAGCCATGCCGGGGTTCCAACTGTACCTCCTCTTTCGATGACAACAACATACACATGTTTTGCCAATGCAAAGAGTTTGCTTCAAGGTTGTTTATTTAACCCAATGTGCGAGCCTTTCTCCTGGACCATTTTCTTGTTGTTTGCCAGTTGGACCTCCGGAGCAAGGAGCGCGTCACCCAAAAGGACTGCGACACACGCGGCGCGGGTTTTTTCTGTTCTCCATTGCCAGGTGAGCATGGCTCCGCGACCTATGGATGACAGGCAGCTGAGGGTAGAAGCTGCTGCGTGTGGATGACCCCAGAAAATTCCGCCACCCGAAGGGTTTTGAGGGATGGAGCTTGGAGAAATCTCCCAAAATGCGAAAAACAATGACACCAGTGATGCTAGAGGGAACCTCCCCTTTCAATGGGAGAATTCAGCAATCTGGGAGGGTCGTTCATCGGCATCACAAGGGGCACTTCCCACAGCCCATTGAGATGAATGGATCCTGATTTGATTACTGGTGAGCAAGCATCAGTAGGGCCCTTCACTTCTTGGGGATACCTTATTTCAGGCTTTGGAATCATTGAACATTTGAGCCACAATCAAAACCCGGGAAGGTTAGAAAAGGGAGAATCCCAGCCAGAAATAGGTGCGGATATCCGCCTGTACATTGTCTTCCATGGTTTTGCTTGTGGCTCATCGGAACCGGGTGTCCATGACCTCTGGATCCGGCTGCATGTTTTTAATGATGCCAGGGTATTGGTCAGAGCTCCCCATAGCTGTCAGCTTTCAGCTGTTCAGTGGCACCCCTCAAATCCATTGGCAAGAAAGAGTGGGTTTTTCCCACTGGTCATCCCCCAAACGGTTCCTCGCTTCTCTTTTTTCCAGGGTCCTTCTTTGGGCAACTGGGAATTTCAGCCGACCGCCAGCTTACCGTTTCGGAGGTAACACGAGGGGTTCCTGTGCTGACCAACCCGCTTTTTCATAGCACTGGCTCACCTGAGTGGAGTCCCTTAGCGGTGGTTCAATGGGGCAGGAGTCCCAAAGGCTTCCTAATGTTAACCCCTGACTAATAAACCCCTGGTTGATTCATAGGGGGGTGTCCAATTCCTTTTAGTGGTTGGATTCAGGCCACTCTTGGAGGGAGAACACCCCCCATATTCATAAGCTGGGGTTTCTTCCGGCGTCGACATGAAGGAGCCCGAAGGAGCCCGAGGGGACTCTCAACCGACTCTTGGGATTCCGAATGCGGTCGAGACACGAGCCGCTTGTCGAAGCGGCTCGTAGGCCCAAGCTCAGTTTTGGTGAGGTTTGACCGACCCATGCATTTGAGGCGCTCGAGAGGCAGAGTCCAAGCAGCAACGGGGCTGATTTTGGTGCGACCTATTGCTAGCAGTCTTAGAGGACATGGGTGCTTCTCTAAATATCAAAAAAATAGTGCAACCCCAGAATGGGCTGTTTCCTTTTCCCTTCAAACCATCCCAAACAAAGGTGCAGCAAGGCACAATATTGAGACACCTCCACATACTGTGGATGGACGAAATCCCTGGAATGATGGTTCCTCTGTAAATACCAAACAAACAATGGTTTCCCATGGTTTCAAAGTGGTGCAGGATTTTGTCCATCCACAGTATGGAGACACTCCCCAAGACAACTTCGCCAGGAGTTGTATTTGCGTCTTTTTGTTCTCGGGGCTCCGCATTGGACAGCCTTCTATCTACCTCAAAGCTCATTTCCAACCCACTCACTTGCAACCAACACGAGCCAGTCCGCGATCTCTTTGTCCCCTTGAATTCCCATAGTCACCCAACACTTTTGGTTTCCCCGTTTCGATCCCTCTCCCCAAAAAACCAACCACAACGGAACAAGGCCCACGTCGTTTACCGTCGGCCGGGCGAAGGCTCCTGTACTTCAGCTCCGAGTTCCTAGATCTCGGGTACCGAGAGGCGCATTGGGGGGGAGGAGGAATCTTGCGATCCCTCACTCTTGTTTGCCACAACCTGAGGCCCCAATTCTTCCAATGGTCAGACCTGTGTGCTTTTCAGGCCTCTTGAGGAGTCGGTTGGGGTTCTCTATTGGAGTGGGTTTCGTGTCGCCATGGGATGGGGTCATGTGCCACGCTTGAACGAATCCAGGCGCCATCTGAGCTTTGGACAATTCCCATGTTCACAAGTACAAACTTGCTGGTGCGATAGGTGGGGAATACCCAGGGTTGGGGAATGAACTGTTCGGGGATTCCCAAGGAATCCATAGGGATGGTTTATAGTAATACAGTGGATGGGCGAACTCCTCGCACCGTGGGAAACCAATTGGGTGGTGCGAAACGGATTTCGCAACCATCCACAGTAGGGCCTAGGGTCATTCCCCATTTCTCACGCGCTGCGCAGCAGTCGCCTAGGCCCTTGACTCTTCGCTCCCTCTGCCCTTCAGCTCTCAGACTCTCAGACTCTCAGACTCTCAGACTCTCAGACTCTCAGACGGCGGCTCTTATCATCATGCACCCACCATGGGTGTGGCTCAAAATAAAAGACCTGGGTTACGCAGGTGGTAGTCCTTTGTTTTTCATTTACCAAAGTGCCATGTTTGTACATGTGTGTGAGCCACAGCCATATCTTGAGAACCGGCTCACTCATTCATTTCGGCGCCGACTCTCTCACTCAAAGAAACACGGCACCCTAAAGCAGTGACCTTTGATCAGTTACGACCCGCCCCCACCATTCTCCGCTGGTGCGATAGGCAGGGAATGAGAAATGGAATGACCGGTATATAAACTATGCAACTGGTGAAGTGTCCTTCTGTCCTGGGGACCAAAGCAACTGGGTTCATTCCATGTCTCATTACCGATTTCGTGCCGATCGCAAGGCTGTGAACGGAATGGTCTCGCAAACAACTGGTTGTTTTTTTTGCAGCCCCCTAGGGCTACCTTCCGTGCCCATTTCTTCCAGGCATTCTTGAGAGGGCCATTCCATACTAGCTCCTGCGAAAGGGTGCCCTTTCTCTCCCGTTTCTTTTTTGGAAACGGGAGGGTTCGGGACCCTACTAAACTTTGGCGCATTTTGCTTGGCTGTTAGGACTTTAACTTTTTGCCGACTAGTGGGTTTTCCACTAAACCACTAAAAGTGAAAAGCTTTTAGCAGGGCTTCGCAGAAAGCAACAGAGTAAAAGAAAGGAAAACTGAAAAAAGTCGGGCACCAACTTATTCTAACCTCTCTGCTGGCGGACCTAGGAAACCAAAGGATTCCCGCCACAGTGGGTTTTGGGGTTGGGTTCAAGGGACATTCCAAGGGACACCCACAGATTTTCGGAGGGTTTTGGGGTTGGTTTCAATGGAAACCAAAAGGGATGCCATTGCAAAATAGGGGGTTTTAAAGGAGAACAAAGGAAACCACACATTTTGGGGGGTGCCCCTATTTTTTGACACATCTGGAGGACCTAGCTGATTTGAACACTGGTTGGCCAACCACTGAATTACGACCTGCCAAAAACATATTTTGTGCATCAGTAGGGCCCTTCACTTCTTGGGGATACCCCTATTTCAAGCTTTGGAATTATTGAACATTTGAGTTACCTTCGAAACCCGGAAAGGTGAAGGTTAAGGGAGAATCCCAGCCAGAAATAGGTGCGGCCGCCTTTTGGAAGACCGAGGAGCTGAAACTTAAGATTGCTGACCTAGTGGAGACTTGGGTTTTTCATGGTTTCAAAGTGGTGCGAAATGGATTTCGTCCATCCACTGTATTACTATAAACCATCCCCATGTGACCTGTAGTAGGTGCACTCCCTCCCACAGGTGCCATGTTAGAGGAAGGGTCATAGTAGGTCATGATTTGTGGGGGACCCCCCGTAAAGGGGGGGACCCCCTGTTTGGGCTTCATGCTCATTTTATTTTCCTTTAACACCTACCTACCTATCTCACCTATCTCTCGCACCTTTTGACCAGTTCTTCCGCCAGGCGCCGGAGGGCGAGGCGCCCAACCACGAGGTGGACCGCGGCAGCAGCACTATCTGGCGCTACAACCTGCAGGCGATTTCAGCGGACTCGGATTTTCCCGCGTGGATTCCATTTGCTTAAGAATAGTTGTTGTTTGTTTTTAATATTATCTCTTTGTTTAGTCCCTTTTATTTTTAAAAGGGAATCTATCACTACTGGAAATGATTTTCCCATTTGCTACCTTGGCTTGGCACATGTGGGAAGGGGTAACGCTTCCCACTTGTGATGCTAGCGGGAACCTTTGGCTTGCAACTGCTGAAACAAATATTTGGTTGGTTTATTTTTCCTTGTGGTGTTAGAAAGGGAATCGATTTCACGACTGGACATATTTTCTCATTTTTTCCAGGGGGCGAACAAGCAAATGGAAGCGTGGATTTTCGGGTTTCTCGCGCCGCGCCAAGTATACCTCCTGCTCTGAATACAGACAGTTTTTTAGGGTATCATGAACAAAAAGACCCAAAAAGGAGATATTTACCATGAAA